TCTCTTTCCTCCTCCCCCCGCCGCCGGAAAGCGCGCGCTCAGCGCGCCTGGGCGCCGCAGAGGCCGCCGCAGTGCTGCCCCCGGGCGCGCGTATACGTGGGCGCCGCAGAGGCCGCCGCCGGCGCCGGCCGCGGCCACTCGTGGCTCGGCCAGGAGCTTCACGCTGCCCCTGGCCCTTCCCCTCCGTCGCCTCCCTCTATCCTCCCTCTCCTCCCTCTCCCCGAGCTTCCCCCCTCCCGCCGGCAGCGGCAGCGGCGCAGAGGCGGGCTCTGCGCCTCTTCGCCCGTGCGTAAACGAATTTTCAGCGCTCCCTGGCGGAGCATGTACAAATCTTAGGGAGGCCGCGTCTGGCCTATACAATCTTCACGAATTCTGCGCTCCACTGGCGGGGCGTGCGCAAATCTCACAGGTGGTGCGTTCGGCCTGCATGCGCAAGTTTCGCAAATTCAACGCTCCCTGGCGGGGCGTGCGCAAGCGTCACGATGGCAGTGCGCACGCCAGCTGACTGTACAAATCTGGGCTGCGAGTCCACAGCCGGCATCCTTTGCAGCTCTAGGCTGCGATCTGGGCCAGGCTGCATCTGACTGCGCAACCTAGGCCTCGGCGAGGCCAGCGTGCAACCTCTCGCGTGCCGAGAGGTGCAGACTCAAGACTGCCTCGCTCCGCGCGCTGCCTGCCACGGGCTCGGGGAGGGGCAGGGTCGGCGAGGGGGCGCCTGACTCACGCGAAGCATGCCGCCAGAGGAGCACCCCACGGGCCTGCCACCACGCACGGCGCTGCGCCGCACTCGCCGACCCCACCGGGCACCGGCGAGGCAGGCGGCAGAAGCCGGCGCACACCTCGTCCTCCTCCTCCACCACCTCCTCCACCTCCTCCTCCAGAGATGCATCACGACGCGCGGCGACGTGCTGGATGGGTTCTACTGGGGCGGCGCTGTGCTCTGCCGGGCTGCGCCGTTTGTCTCGGCATCTCTGGCCTGCTGCTCGTCGGCCTGGCGCCAGGACTCCTTCATCCTCTCGAGCTGCCTCTTCGCCCTCTGGAGCAGCAGGCCGCCCAGGACGAGAGCGAGCACCCAGTAGAGGCCGTACGCGAAGAACTCCAGGGGGGTCGGCTGGTCCTGCCAGCCGAACATGGCTCGCATGAACACCCAGAACTTGTTCCCCATGTCGTCGCAACACTCCCTGGCGTCGAAAACCCTCGAGTTCTGCCACGGGCGCTCCGCTCTCGGGATCCACGTACCGAACACGCCGAGCTCCTGGAAATTGTGCGTGGCCGAGGAGAAGAATCCGGCGGCAATGAACAGCAGGAGTACCGCAGAGAACTTCATGAACAGAGTCACAGGCATCCTCTGTGTCCCTGTGAAGAAGCACCAGCCCACGATCCTGGCCAGGATGATCGCACTGATGATGGGAATTGGAAGCGAGGACAGGTCCTTCGCATCAACCACGATAGCGGATAGGAAGAGGATCGACTCCAGACCTTCCCGCAGTCCAGTCATGAATGCAAACATGAAGAACGTGTGTTTCTTGGCAAAGGAGGCGCTCGTTCGTCCAGCTTCGTCCTGTGCAGCGGTACTAGCTTCCAATGTCTGCTCCATGATCTTGCTCATCTTTCTTTCGTGAGCTTCCTTGGCATACATCATCTTGTAGAAGTTCACTGCCATGAAGCTCAGGATGCACGAAGTGATCAACATCAATATTCCTTCCAAAATTAGGTGTGTCTCGCCTTTGACGTCCCTCAGGGCTAAAGATATCAGAGCAAGTATGCCCACACCCATCGCAACGCACGCAAGAAACCCAATACTGGCTCCAACGTACACTTCACGCCGAAACGTTGTGTGTTGCTCATCCGTGATGGTCCCGTTTGCCTGGCTCTTCTTCAGGAACTGCAGCATGATGACCAAAACCAAGACGACCTCGAGACTCTCCCGGAACAACACGACAAATGCAGGTACCGAGAAATAGATGTTCGCATCCGTCGATCTCTGTTCTGAGACGCATCCCTCATCTGCCCCGCACCACCTGCAACCACAAAAAGACGTACACGTGGGGCACTCGCCGCCTTCCGGGATCCACAGGCCGTCCTTCCACTCGCGGTGGCCGTAGATCGACATGCAGTCCATGTAGTCTGGGTTGTGCAGGAAAGGCTCGTCGTCCTCTGAGTTCCAGCAGCACTGGTCACAGACCCACGACTCGCTGTATGCACTCGCGGTGGTCGTCTCGGTGGTGACTGCCTCTGCGGCCCCTGCAGCCAAGGCCAGGACGAGCAGGATCGCGGACACGCGTGCCATTGGACGTGCAGAGGAAAACAAGTCGAGCTGAGACGCCTGCGGACCTTCCACGAGGAAGCCTGCGCCGGTGCAACTCGAGCCCACAGATACCTTGAGCCAAAATGGCTACGGAAAGAAGTAGGTAGAAACATGAAGTAGGAAGGCGGATATCGTGGGTTGGGTCTAGGTCCTCCCAGAGAACAACAAACCACAGCAAAAGCATGCCGATTCTTGCGGCAGGAAAGCGCTTGAAGCAGATTGGGATCTGGGAATCCACAAATACCTGCTTTCAACGGCCGGCGCGTACTGGGGGACGCCCCCCCCCCGCCCCGTTCCACTGACCGGAACTGCCGTCACCCGAGAAAACACCAGCCACGGCAGACCTGGTGGTTTGGTGATTCTGGCTATACCCGACCACTGCCCACACGACCCGTCGCTGACGCATCCCGGCGCATCGCCCACACATCGCCAAGGCATCGCCCGTGCATCGGCGCTGCGACGGCGACCCTTGGACCCCATCTACTCGGACCCCGTTCGGGAGGCCTCCGCTACTGGTAGACGAGCGCGCTCCACTGCTCGCAAAGTAGCTACTCGCAAATGGCCTGGATCCGCCACAGGTGAGCTGCGATGAGATACATCAAGGCAGACATGTGCCTTTGGGACGTTTGCGAGTAAGCTCTTTGCGAATACAGTGCGGGCGCGGCCGCAAGAAACCCTCGCAAGAAACCCTCGCAAGACCCGTCGTATAAGTACGAGTTGCCACCGAGCGCCGGGTGTGCCGCGCCCTCCTCCGCGGGCCCCCGCCGAGGGACTTCCCGCGCGCCCCCCGCACGCCTTGGCCTTCACCCGCACGCCGAGGCCCCGGAGCCTCTCGCCCGCCGCGCGCGCGCGCCGGCGGCCGCCGCGGGCACGGCCAGGAGGAGGAGGAGAAGGAGGAGGAGCGAGGAGGAGGAGGAGGAGGAGGAGGAGGAGGAGGAGGAGGAGGAGCGAGGAGCGAGGAGGAGGAGGAAGGGAGGGAGGAGCGAGGAGGAGGAGGAGGAGGAAGAGGAGGAGCGAGGAGGAGGAGGAGCGAGGAGGAGCGGGAGGAGGAGGAGGAGGAGGAGGAGGAGGAGGAGGAGGAGGAGGAGGAGGAGCGAGGAGGAGGAGGAGCGAGGAGGAGGGGGAGGACAGGGCAGGGCAGGGGGGACGAGGCTCGAGGAGGACGGGGCTCACAAAACGACGGCAGGCGCCGAGGTTTGGACGTCTGCTCCACGGGAGCCCTCGCGGCCAACCCTGGGGCTGCCCGACTTGGGCCGGATTTGGACCTGACTCGGATCACACGTGGGGCGGGATTCGGACCAGACTCACCCCTGTCGCGGGGGAGACGAGAAGAACGAGGAGGGGGAGGAGGAACAGGAGGGGCGAGGAAGAGCAGGAGGAAGGGCCAAGTGCGGAGCAAACGAACGAGGAGGGGGAGGAGGAACAGGAGGGGCGAGGAGGAGAAGGAGGAAGGGCCAAGTGCGGAGCAAACGAGGTCTAAATGCGCTCCAACTGCAAGAAAAGTTGGTTTCGATGTCGCCGCGCGGGGCTCCCATGAACAGACATCGAAGCCGCGCCAGGCAGCAGCAGAGTGCCCATAAAAGAATCTGGCAGACGCGGCTGGTGTGTCTCGCAACTGCCGCCTGCAGAAGGACGGGGATCGATCATAGCCAAGCGCGCCATCAGCCTGAAGGATACCTGGACCCGCTTTCAAGGATGAGGCAGTCGTCGGAGAGATGGCGGAGCCTCTGGGCCGAATAACGGAACGACGGACATCTGCACTTCGCGCGTGGCAAACAACTGGCATCAACCTCGGCCGTGTGTGGGACGGCGCCCCTGTCGGCGATGACTGGGCGATACGGGGTCGATGCATTCCCAGATCCCCGACGTCATGATCTTTTCCTGGGGCCTCGACCCATTTCCTGGGACCGTTTTTTTTATCCTGCGTCGTTTTTGTCGACGGTCCCGAGGCCCAGTAAGGGCCCCTGGCGGCCGAGAATAGCGAAACGCCTGCCGTCCGGATTTTTTCACGACTTGAGGGGGTCTGGGTTCCCTCCCCATGAGCCTATCACCCCCTAACGTTGCCCCTGACGACTTGAGAAGCGGGTCGACTCAATATTCAAGTTACCACAAAACTGCTTGTTCCCTCGAGGACTACGGAAAAGACGTCGAATGCTCCGTAAATCAATTCAGCATTCAATGTTTTTTTGTTCGTGGACTCGACGGAAAAATCAATTGTGGAGCAAATCAACTCTGCAGTCGATCCCCTACTCAATCGACCCCGTGGCCCGGGGCCCCGGGGGACCGCAGACGACAGCTTTCGCAGGTCCGCGCGGATCTGTCTTGAATCTGCAGTGGAGCCCCCCCTCCAGCTCCGCCAGGGGGGGTCCAGCGCAGATCTAACAAATCCGCGAGGAGCTCCGAGAAATCGTGTTTATGCCGTTTTGATGTTACTCGAGCATGGGCGATTGGGGGTCGACGCATTATTACCCCATGAGCATATCACCCCCTAACTATAGGCCTCCTAGATGGGGTCGGAGTAGATGGGGTCGGAGGACCGCGCCGCGTCGCCGATACATCGGCGAAGCATCGGCGATGCACCGGAGATGCACCAGCGATGCATCGTCGACGTGGGCGATGCATCGGCAACGTTGACGTGAAGCAAATCGGGCTCCACATCGAACCGCATCAGTGATGCATCGGCAATGCGGCGCGATCCTCCGACCACATCTACTCCGACCCCACCTAGCAGGCCTAGACTAACGTTCGGTCGGGCATGTCCTCCGACAGGCGGATTCTGGGCGAAAAATACAATAGTCCAAAAAGATTGAGAACAGAACCCAAGAATGGTCAAAAAAATCGTCCCCAGACCATTTTCGGACTATTTCTGAATATTCCTCCTGCAGAGGGACACGCCCGACTTCAGCCCAGACTAACGCTGACCCTGCCGACCCCGTGGCCCGGGGCCCCGGGGCTCGAAGGCGGACCCCAGGCGGCATGTGCGCGGCCAAGGGGAGGGGGGGGGGGGGCCGGGAGCAGACTGAAGCAGGAGGAGACGCCACGAGGTCTGGGGAGATGTCATGAAAGGAGCCGAACTCTGTACACCGACGCCTTTTTCTGGCCCCGCACCGAAATTCGCACGAGAAAGGGGATCCTGGTGTCTACGGGATCCTGGTGTGTACATTTTTCGTCGCTTCCCTGGGAAAACGGGCAAAAAGTATACTCCACACCACCCCGACGTCGTCCCCGATCATCAACAAGTCTTGGGATTGAAGAACAGCCCGCCACTGGCACTGTATATGTTCCAATTTCCGATCGTGGCCCCCGCCGTGATATCAGAAGAAGAAGACGAAGAAGAGAAAACGCCATAAACATCAACTTCTGGCGCTCCGCACGGATTTCTTGATTTGTTGGCTCTGCGCCGGGCGCCCCCCCTCCCTGGCGCGCGGAGCGCGCCAGGGGCGGCGCCGGAGGCGCCGCGGGAGGGGCCCAGCGCGGATCCAAGAAATCCGCGCGGAGCGCCAAAAATTATGTTTACAGCGTGGTTTCTTCTTCGAATCATGGCCCCGGCATGATATCCCGCCCACCCCCCAAGGCGGGTGTATACTATGGCGGGGGTTATAAAATCGGGGGGGGATCTCGCGGCCTCAACCGACCTCCACACGCTCGAGCGTCATCACCCCCCTCGTGGCCGCCCCCGACCAGCGTTGCCTTAGGTCGGGCATGTCCCCCTGCAGGCGGATTTTGGACGAAAAATAAATTATCCCGGCAAAGCAACCTAACAGCGATGAGTATAAGCATATCTGGAAACATTCCCCTTAAGATTCAGGTGAGAATCCAGTTGTAAAATTCTGCTGTTCTCGCAGTCGCAGTCGCATTCGCAATGACAGTCGCAGCGGCAACGGCCTTAGGATCCAATAGAATCTTAAGGATTCCGAGGGATTCTTAAAGCAAAATGTGGCCTGGGAATGGTGTTCTGGGAACACGAAGAACACGAAGTGGCCTACAGTTGGCTCCGGGCATTCAAAATGTGGCCTGGGAATGGTGTTATGGGAAGACGAAGAACACGAAGTGGCCTACGGTTGGCTCCGGGCATTCAAAATGTGGCCTGGGAATGGTGTTCTGGGAACACGAAGAGTAGGAATCCATAGGAAACTATAGGAATCTATAGGAGTCCTGCGGAGTCCCCGGGTTCCCTGGCTTCTCCCGGCACCCGCCCAGACCCCCCTGGGGAGTCAAGATGCTCTCTTTTGAGCCCACTAGGAAGTCTTCGCTGTTAGGTAAAAATACCCCCAAAATACCCCCAAATGGTCAAAAGCGGTCGAAAAAGCGTCCCCAGACTATTTTGTTCAGTATATCCCCCCTGTAGAGGGACATGCACGACTTACACTTGAGCAGGGACCGACCGTCCCGGCATTCCTATAGTCATACCACGAAATGCCCTTGGAACCCACAAATGTTCCAATAACAAAAACATTGTTCTTGGAACATCGACCTGATGAGTTAAAACAAGTCAGTCCCAGCCAGAGATGGTCTAAGAAAATTTCGTGGGAACCACAAAAGGTTCTTAGAACATTGTTTGGTGAGCCGGGACGCCTCGCCACTGCTTGATAAAAGTTGCCCCTGGCGACCCCGCGGCCCTGGGCCCCCGGGGGCCCGAAGGAGGACCTCCGGGAGGCCGCCCGCGCGTGGGCCGGCGGGCCGCCACGGCTCCTGCCGTGGCGCCAGGGGCTGGGCCCCCCCGCCGGGGCCCCAACAGGAAGCAGCCGGCCCACTTCGGGGCGACGACGACGACGACGACGACGACGAAGATGATGGCTAAAGATAGCTTCTGGCATACCTCCAAAAGGCCCGACGTGAGCCACAAGACGGTTCCAAGTGCTTTCGAAGCCCCTGGGGGGCGCGTGCGAACCCTACCCCTACCCCCCACGATCTCTGAGGGGGAGAGTGGGGTTCACTTCGCTCGGGAGCTCCCGAACGAAGTGAACCCCACCCTCCCCCTGAGAAATCATGGGGGGTAGGGGTAGGGTTCGCACGCGCCCCCCCAGTTGGCAGAACTGGGTCTAGTGGGGCCTGGTTTAGTGATGTGTACACGTCGGTCGGAAGAAGCAGGTAGAAGCATGAAGTAGGAAGGCGGATATAGTAGATTGGGTCCAGGCCCTCCCAGGGAATAACAAAACACAGCAAAAGCATGTCGATTCTTGAAGTAGGAA